CTCTCTGCATTTCTTTTTTGTAGCATGTTCAGTACAAACTATTTTTCCTAGGCTAAACTTTAGCATGTTACTGAGACAGCAGGAAGCCCACTCCAGCCCCACTGTGAGTAGACAGAATAGTATCCTCATAATTTTTCTCTAAATGCTCCTTTAAATTAGCCTCAGGGTCTACCTGGTGAGGTTCACAGGCTAAGCTTAGCAAACATTTAGCCAAACTTAGGTCAAATTACCAGACCTACTTTGCTGTGAGTGGCCGTATTTAGTAAAGTATTGGGTTACTCAGGAAGATAAATTGGCAGATATAAACTATTAGTAAAGACAAAGTGGACCTTGTAGCAAAAAGTAAAGATTAAAATAATACAGTAACAAGAGCTAGAACACTAGAACTCTTATTAAAACTGGCTTGTAATATTCTAAAATACTCTGCATAAATAGAGCATATGGTTGCTACTGCCTGGAAATATAAACACACATACTTCAGATAAATCATTCCAGTTACCCGAAGAGCCTAGAACTGTTACCACTATTTCTTTCCAATACTGATGTGCTTTGCTCTCTGGGTCAAAATGATCTTATAAAAATGTCAAATGAAGGTAAATTTTGGTCATAGATTTGAACAATTTCAAGTATATTTTCTTTAGCCAAACAGCATGACTCTATTTTCTAAACAAAAAGGAGGAGTACTGGCATGACTGTTAGAAGTATTAGCACTAGTAATCTCTAGGATTCCCCTTGCAGCTCTTCCTGCAGGAAGAGGGAGGAGTTAACAAGCTTTACCAGTGACACCAAAGTTTCTGCCTCTTCTCAAACTTGAATTCAAGCTCTCGGCCATGTAAAGTAGAACAAAGAGGAGACATGAGCATAAGGATTACATAATGACTACTGCTCCTGGAGCTGCACCACCACAGCATGTGCACTGGCGCACTGCTCCTAAGCACTCCCTGAAATGAGCTGTTTCTCAGACATGGGGCCAAGAATAATGTTTAGGCTCATAAATGTTAAAGTGTTCCAAGATGACTCTTTTTAAGCAGCCATTGTGAGGACTAGGAGGGTTATTGTTAAAGCGACCAGACAAGCTGTGTTAACAATCTTTGCTGCAGAACACTTGGAAATAAAATATGCCTGTTAGTATTCCAAGCATGCCTGCTGCAGGGGATGTCTCTAGTCTTTGAGGACAGCACACTGCTTTTCCAAAGCTGTGATTACCTGCGCAGAAAACAGGAAAATATGGAAGCCCACTACAGAAATGTGTCGAGTTCTGTGCTGTGGATGACCGTACTCCTAGGTGGTCCTGTAAGAGACAGCTGGACATGAGATTAACAGTGAGAATTCACAGTTTTATTTTTATGCTTGAAAGAGAAAAGGACTCTTTCTGGAGACCACAGATCCATCAAGCAGCTCTTTGTTTACAGGAGGCTACAAAAATTAGCTTGCCAAAGATCACTAGGCATTGCTGCAGGGAAAGGCAAGGTACAGCATCTGTTTACAGGGCAACACATTTTGATTTAGCAGCTGCACATCCAAAGATGATACTTTATTGTCTTCCCTATAAAACTATGCTGGTCACAAATCCAGAAAAGTTACAGAGAAAACCACTAAGTGCCCACTTTCTTATGTGTGAAATAAGTACCTTTATGGATTAACTATTTGCAGAGGGTTCACAGTGTCAAGAAGATTAATCCACAAACACCAGAGGTTTATGTCCTAAAAGGAGACAGAGAAGCCCTTTTACTTTATTTGAATAAAGGAAGAGGCCATGGGGCATTCCTCTGGGGTCTCTCAAATTTTTGGAGAATGCAGCCTCCTTTTTATCCTAATTTCCTGACTGAATTTCCCTACCTCTTTCCCTATTGGCTGAAGCACTTGAGAGGTACAGACTTTCCAGAATGCCTGATACCTAAGATTCCACTCTAATGTATAACCCTCCCTTTTAATTTTTATCTCTTATGGAATTTATGGTTTTTCCCCATTGTTTCTTTCATCTTTTAATATCCAGTTTCATTTATCAGCAAACCTACAGTTTGTTTGTAAAGGCAAATATCTTTTTTTTTCCATGCATCAATCAGTGGAAACCTTCCCATTGTTTCTTTTATATCTCAGTGCTAGTTTTATCTACCAGCAGACCCACAGCTTGACTGTAAAGTCAAATCTGTCGTTCCTCTCAGCAGCCTTCCCTTCAGCCACTGTTAAAGGAACATACATATTCTCCTAAGCTAATTGTGAAACCCGTTAGAGATTTCAGGTCTCTAGCTTGGAGGGACTGAGGACACTTCTGTACAAGGCAGGAACTCCTACTGCAGCAGCAACTGGAGGATGATACAGTAAGGATTCCCCCATGTAAGCATCACTGGATAGCTACCACCCCCTAACAGTCCCTTTTGCAAGTATATGTGCTGGCTTTGTGGCCTGGCCTGGCTGCTGGAGGGCTGTAAGAGCAGCCCCAGATAGCTGTGGGATAGCTAGTTTTGTGTGCCTCTTTCCAATCCCATTGCACCAAGTTCTAACTGAACCAGCTGGCTGGCACCATTAACTTTCATGCCCTGGGATATGAGGAGACATGGCAACTGTAATGGCTCTAATGGAACACAGACACAATTGCAACCTGGCATGCTCAATCCATACCTCAATTGTGCACAGAGACACAGCCAGCTGTGTCCTGAGGGTGTCTGAGAAGGATGGATGCTTTGTTATAAATTTACTGTAGTATGAAGCTAGGAAATTGTAATAACTTTATCCAAGGATTTATGAATCAAGCTAAAAAGGTCAACGTGTTAATGACAACAAAAACAACAACATATGAGTAATTTCCCAAAGGAGGAATAACATTTTTTCCCTTTGGAGATAGGGCACTGAGGTATGAAAAAGTTAGGCAACTTGGAGTCACAAGATGAGTCACTGATTGAAAAAGGACAAGTCCAAGCTAAAACTGATAAAAGTCTACAGCACACTGATGCAGACCTTCCATGGATATCAAATGACTCCATATGTATGGAGAATGTTACACTAATTGCCTGTTGCTTTCCACAGCCATTAATTTTGGGGTGAATTGTAATGCAAAACCACCTGACTACCTCAACTTCCTCTAAGCATGGATTTCTGTTTCATTTGTTGTCTGTGAAATATCTCTGTTTTGGAAGTTACTTCTTACAAGTATACTTGTTCCTCCTTTCCCCTCCTTTCAGGTGGGAAAGATCCTAGTAGTGAAGGTTAGTGACACCCTTTGGATTATTCCATTCACTAAGCTCAGCATAAGATCAACCCACTTCCAAGAAGTCCTCTAATTATTCAGGAACTGTGCCCTTCTCCACAGAGAGTAAAGACTACCCCATAATACCCGCATCTCTCCTCATCCCTCAGGACACCAGAATGCAGCAGCTTCCACACTACTGTGAGAAGAGACTGGCCAGTATCTCAGCAGAAGCTCATAAAGCTGCATCCATAATAACTGACTTCAGTAATGAAATTACAAAGCAGTCACAGTACATGTTTTCAAATCCTGAATTGAGTCCAGCTAAAAGTAAGCATGAAGCAAAATGAAGGCTTAAAAAGTGGCAAGAAAGAATAGTTACAGCTTATAAAAATAAATTCTAAGAGAATTAATTAACACCTTTCAGAAAGGCACTCTATTCATACTGAAAAGCAATCATAGCAATTCACAGTAAGCACTAGGTCTTTACTGCTTTTGTCTTTTCAGACAGCAGCAAAAATGTAAACTGCCTAGAGAGCTATCTGCAGGATGATGGACAACAGACACCTGACTTCTCATCATAATAAACTCCATTTATTTTGCTCCCCACCAGCCTTCTCTGCAGCCTTAAATCAGGAGTATAAACTGAATAAGGCAAAATATTTCTGGTGATTTTGAAGCCCATAGCACATCACTGAAATTTACATCCACACAAGTCATTAAGGTGAATACATGTGAACTTAAAGGATGATGCATTCTATAAGGTGACTTCTTTTGTTAATATTAATCAAATTGTAGCAAAAACAATCTCATATATTTTGTTTTAGAACTAAAGTCTAATTGTTAGGCAATTACCCACAAAAACAGCTATGAAAATCTTTGCTGAGAAGTAGGAAGAGATGCCAGGTCTTATGTGAGAACTGTCAATTGCATAAATTAGCAAAATGATAATTTGAAAGGTTCCCTTGCACAAAGAATAGAAAACCATCAGCAGCTTTCCAGGGGGCTCTGCTTTTCTTTCTTCATTGCAAATGGTGAGACATGTAATAAGCAATCACAACACTCAAAGGTAATTTCAAGTGTGCAACTGTGGGCCCAGTTATGGAAGAAGAACTGTGCCTCCTAAAAACAAAATTACAGGGTTGGAACTCTATCAGTTCTGAAATGCTGCAATGCAAATGGAAGAATGTTCTGGGAAACTCTGTTCCTCAACAAATGTCCTACATAAAGCACCTCCATGGGTTTGGAGATTACTTGTGGATAGTCTCTCCTCACTGTTTTCCCCTTATGTGCTCTGTTGGAGCACCTTTGCGTTAGTGTCTCAAACTGATACTCAACCTACAAGACCCTGGGAGGTTCAAACAGTCAAGGACAGAGTGGAGAACATGCTCTTTCTAATAACTTTCACTTAAATCTCAGCAAAGATTGGAATGCTTAAATCACATTTTAGACATGGTATGCCATTTTATTATTATAGTATTACAGGGAAGCATTTAGTAGAAGGAGAATGGAAATAATTGTCCTTATGAACTACCTTTTGTTAATGAAGAACTACCTACCCTCTTTATCAAAAAGCACGTTACAGTGATGACTAAAGTTTTCTGTGTGTTTTGGAAAAACAAAAGTGAGCTGAAAAATCATACTACTACAGTATTTTTTTTTTGGGTCAAAATCAAATAAGTGGGATAGACAGGCAGATTTTCTGCTGAAATTGAGTGATTTTCAACTAATGACTTCAACTACTCTGTTAATACTTAGATCATTTGATTCACCACTGGAGGGAAAGAGGAACTCCAGGTAGTTCACGACTTACCAGCTTGTAGCCAAATTTGTTCAAGAGTTGTCCACAGCTTCACAGGTCCCTGCTTCATTGCACTGCTCTGCATAGTTATTTCAGACATGGCCTGTTCCAGTCTTGATGCAGCAAGGGAAGAGGCTCGTTGTGATCCTATGAGCCAGACAAACATTAATGTATTTTATACTTATTTATGATATTTCTTTGACTTGTTAAGGCAGCAGGTCTGATCCTCCACTCACAGCATTGGTTTTATGTAATAAGAACTCTGCTGGATTTTGGCATGACAAACTGGAGAAGTATGTTTTATAAAAGGTTAATTTACTGAAAGAAACCCAAAACACTAAATTATCCAAGGGCTGCAGCTCAAACAAGCAAATTAAGAGACAGACATTAATTTTATAAAGGTCTGCTTAGCATTCATCAAGGAAGAAACCATATTTTGCTCGTTTGGGAAGCAGAAGTCTAGCATCAAGTATTTTCCACAAATACCTACTTTATAAGCACGGTCATCATACAATTACAAAATGTGCCCCACTAAGGTAAAAAATTCATACAGACAGCTTAGCCCTATTCACATAGCGCACGCATTTCAAGTGACATCAATATTGTTCTACTGATTTAGAGGCAGGGTGGTTTTTCGTTTAACCTTGGAGAGCAGAGAGTTCAGAGCTTTGACTATATTAACCTTTAGTATTCAATGTAATATTTATGCAAGAATAAAGTATTTGGCACCCACACCTCTGGGAAAAAACATCACATGAAAAGCTTATCCCAGGAGGGTTACATGGGCAGAAACCACTCTTCTCCAGTACAGCAAGTGGGATTATACTGATGAGCCAACCTCTCAGAGGGGTATCAGGATGGTGGTAACAAAATAAGAAGCTACAACCTGAGATTTCAGAGTTGGCTTTGTAAGCATTGAGAAATAAGAATTTTAATATAGGTAGGTTTTAATGTGATTTTATGATTGATAAGTTCTTTCTGTGGAGAGCTGCTGTGACTGAAGCACTTGTGTTGATTAGCATTACTCTTGAATCTATCCTTACAAGCTGACCTCATAAACCACAAGATCCCTGAGTTAAAATCCCGCTTTTTTTCTCCCGCAGCCACAGGGCATATGCACTTAATGGTCTCTCTGAGAGGGACAGCATGCTTTTCCAGCTGGAGTGTGCTCGAGAGAGGGCTGCCAAACCACACCTCCTCACCAGCAGACCAGCACATCACCCTGCTGTCCCCAGCCATGGTCTCCTGGCCATCTCTGTTCCGGATGCTGAGCCCAGCCTCCCGCCAGGCATGAGGGGAGGCACGTTTCTGTTGCACTCTACTGTGCCAAGCACCTGTGCTTTGCAAGGTAGAACAGGCTGCAGCTTCTACTTCATCTGAGGTGAGCATGTCACGGCTTGGGAGAGACCACAAATGCAACTCAGGCACAGAACTGCTATGGGAAATATTTGTCCCATTATCCTGTTACTAACTAATGTCATTCATTTCAAGCAAGAACTTCAAAACAGCCCTGCAGCAGGCACTTCCCACAGCTTCCTTGGAAAATGCAAATATGTTCTTCCCAGATGCATTTCTTAAATTCCTGCATATTTTCAAAGACACTCCTGATCCAATGATCCAAAAGATGACACTGCAGTAATGTAGCAATTATAGCTTTAAGAGTAGGGGTAAAAGCCATTCTGCTTTGCAGAGAGAATTTATTGTATTTATCAGTTTATTTAATTGATCCAGCTTCAGCCTGTTTCACTGCACGAGATTCCTCTCCCACCTTGCCCATTCACACTCCTCTCCTCCATCCCCATCTCCACCAGTGAGAATTTCACTGAAACTCCCAGAAATTCAAGTCACACTAGAGCTGTTTGACATAGGGAAAACTACCAAGCATTTATCTCCAGCCATTTAAAACACAGTCAGCTTCTCCGCAGTGCACAGACAAGAAAAGAGACACATGAACAGCTAGTGATGTTATTAGCAGAGCTTTGAAGTTAGGGCAGACTTCTTGCCTTCTAGATTGGCAAACTTGAAAAAAATTACACATACTTTGTGGATTGTGCTGTCAGCCTAACCAGATACTTATATTAGCATGTTTTGAATGCAACTTTCAGAACCACATTTTTCTACCAAGGTTGCCCTCTCCCAGAGAGGCTTTGTGGAGCTGTGCTTCTTGCAAGCACCCAAATGCAATGCTGGGTGGGCAGATAGGCTGGTATCTTATTCACATCCACACAGAGCTCAGGGAAATCCTTTTTTCCTTGCAAATCAATTCAAGAAAATTAATTCACCGTAAGGCACCTTTGCGCATTTTGGAGAGGTTCACACACTGCCTAAGTAGATCCAGTTAGAATCTACTAAAGCATCCTTCCCTCACAAAGCACACTTCACAGGAATATAAAAGCATCAGGAATATAAAAGTATAGTTGCTCTCAAAGAAACCTGGGTTAGCTGCTCCTCATCTTATCTTCATTAGACCAATAGTTGCCAACAGGGGAACTTGAAACTGAGACTGATCCTGCTCAGTACAGTGGGCATCTGCACACCCAGACAAATGAGACCCAAGTTACTTAGCAATTTACATGGAGGCTTCTTGCATTTAACATCCCTTGGCATTCCAGTCCTTTGATGCTTACTTTCCTACTTTTCCAGCCTACAAGAGGAAGCAAAATATTTTAAGTAAAGACCACACCATCCCTGCTCAGCCTCAGACAGATACACTCCTTGTTCTAGACATATATGCCAGATGATCAGGCTCTCTCCAAACCAGCACAAACTCCACTTTTGCCACCACTGTTCTTGCCCATCTCTGCTGGGATGCTCAAAGCAGTTCTCCTTAAAGCTTGCCTGACCAAATAAACTCTGTAAGAGAAGGTTTTTGCCAGCCTGGCCCTTCTGGAAAGGGGCTTAAGCGACATCTCTGAATCTCAGGCAAGCAATACAGTGCCCGGGGCGTGAGCTGATGGCTACTGGAGCCACAAAGGAGTTTACTTCTAACACACTATATCCTGAGAGAGGAGATCAGCATGTGTCACACTGGCAGGACACTGACCTCCGGGTCATGGGGGGAGATGGAAAAACTTCAAAGCAGCATTAAAAATAAGAAGTATCTGAATGTCTCATTATAAGATATCTCCTCCTAAAGAAACGTGCTAAAAAAAACTCTCCACAAAACCTGTCTCACAGAAATTTAATGTCATGCCTCAAAATACATGCAAATGTTAGTATATGAAGATATCATATAGATTTGTTATTTTAGTGCAGTCTCTTTCTCTATTTAACAGCTCTACTAGACAGAATATAAACTTCACATTTTACAATAAACCCCTCCACATATTTTGGAAATAACTGATGAAATAAACTGATTTTGTTGTGATGAGCTCTGCACATAAGCCATACAAAATCTAAATTATTTTGAAGCACTGTTCTAGGGTATTTTAAGACCAAAAAGACCAAGTTTAATATTTTTCATTTATGAGAAAATTTCTATCAAAATAGAAATGTAGCTCATGAGATTTACTAGAAACACAGTAAGAAACACAGAACTCCCAAGCCTAAATCACTTCAGGCAAAAGCATTATAAGACAATCAGAAAAAAAATGAAACAGCAAGGCAGCTAACTGATATCAGTGAATTTAGTTAGGAATACTGCTTCAGTTAGAAGATGAAGAAAATAAAGAGAAATTAATCTTACTGGCAGCAAACCTAAAATTCTGGCACAGCAAATAATCTTACTGTGGTCTAGCTGAGGGAGAGGCCAGTGTCAAACTTGGCCACAGTAACCCACACACTTCAGTGATGAGCCCAGAGATGACAGAGCGCCTGCACAGTACAGCGATGGATGCTGCTGCATGCTCCCAGAAGATTTTACAACAGACGGTACTGCCTGTTCCACAGTGATGCAGAAGTATCAGACCTCCTCCCTCATCCAAAGCAGGCAGCCACAGCCCCAGCTCTGGGGAAGCACAAGGGCAAGAGGGGCTAGAGCTGTACCCTCCAATCTCACCCACTACTGTCTTCAAACAGGCTCCCAACAGAGAAGCAGACCCAGCTGCTTCCCTCCTGCAGATGGGAGAACAGCAGCACCCAGAGCCTGCAGAGAAGGGAGCCACAGAGACCTGCTGAAATCAGCCAGTGCCAGCCCATCACTAAGGTGGGTGGTGTAATTTCAGTACGAACTCCATTCTTTGTATCCAATGTGGGGGCAACTATGTTAGCATGGAAACCTGTACTCTCAAAGTGGAGGAGGAATATATTTCTTGGCTAAAACCAAACTGCATTCAGTGCAAATCACTTTAGGTGCACGAAAAGCTGATTCAAAGCTTGTACTTTACATTAATTGCGCTTTCTGGCAGGCAGCACTATGGCTTACAGCACAATTAAGACTCATACAAACTCTAATTCCCTAGAGATTAATCAGATTGATGTGTTAGTTTTTTTTCTTGTCCAGTTTTGTTGGAGTCTGAGATACAGAGTGTGTGCCCTTGTTTCTAATACTTAGTTCTAGGATTCAAAGAAACACTGAATTTCATATAATAGGAAAGTCATGAGCATGTCTTCATGGTGATACATGAAAACAAATGTTAAAGTTAGATAGAAAAAGCTAAAAGTGTAAGTGTGTAGATTAGAAAGTTTTTTAAATCACTGGGTGAAAAAGTTAGTTTAGAGAACAGGAGACAAGATGGAGGATTTAGGCTGTTGTCTCTTGTCCTTCTTTCTTCTTCATGTTCTTCTCCTAGGGGTTTTTGGGTAGTAGTAAGTGATTGGATAGAAAATACCGTAGTGCAGCACACAGGTGTTGGGTCATTGGGTCACTAAGAAAAATAATTTAGTTAGCATCTGTTAATTGGGTAAATGGACATATAAAAGACCTTGAAGATGATCTTTGTTAGCCATTTTACCCTTTTCTATCATAGTGCACATAGCTCCTTGTACCTTGTAATGCTGATAAGAAAAGAATAAACTACTGAGACCGAACAAGAGAAAATAGCCTCCCTCTCGTCAATCTTCAGTTCAAAGGGAAAAAGAACCTAATCCAAAAGTCCTTAACGAGACACAGTTTCTGAGTGTGAGGTTCACTTTCTCTGCCAAGTGCTTCTTCCACATCCACAAGGATAGGCATTTGATTCCCTAAAAATTCCTCCAAGTTAAAAGGCAAGTTTCTCACATCAACATCTTATTTCGAGCTAGGGTCTTCAAGAAGTACCAAATATCACGAGACTTACAACAAAAATCACAAGTCAGCAGTGCTCTCTGAAAGCTTTCTTTCCCCCTTACTGCGAAGATCAGCTTTGGTGCCTCAGTTATTTCCATCTGACTTTATCTATTACTGTGAATATGCATTTACCATATAATAAAGCATCACAACGTTTATACACAAATCCCAAAACAAATCACCATCTAATAGGAATTGACACTCTCACTCAGCTTTCCGAAACCAACAATAGCAGCTGGCTTTATCAGGACATCTAAAAAGAATTAAATGGGAAGACAGGCTCAGGGAGGGAAGGAGGGGAAAAAAATCCCCCATAAAACAAACAGAATTATACATCTCAGAGAGCTTTGTGAAAGAAAGCAGAAACTCCTCTCTGTGTTATGGGGAAGCCAAGGTACAGGCAAACCACAGTGACACATTCTACAGCAGAGCTGGCCATGGAGGCGGTCCTGAACCTCCTGACCAGCAGCCCAGCAACATGGACGTGTACAGGCCCACCACACTCTCCAAAGAAAATCAAGCATTCATCTCTCACAAAAGCACGTGTTTAGGATAGGAAAGCACAAATCTTGTTTCCTTACCAGAATCAGTGTCATGAGCATCTGGAAGAGTGAGATGCAGTCCATTGTGCTTTTTGATTACAGGTGTTTCAGTCACACTACTTCCCTTCTCAGAGCCACTGTAAAGAAACAAAACTGTGTTACCTGGACATCCCTCAGTGGAGAAACATTTCCTTCAAAGCAGGCAATAGTTTAGCTGCCATGAGAAGTGAAAAATCAAGGTTTCCAGTTGTGAGAAATTAGTTTATTGAATGTATTAACACCCGCCCCACTGCCAATGGATAAGAAGCTCAGAGACTGCCCAGCACACACTGGTATTTAGTTTATTTGGCTATCGGGAGTCTTTGCAAACCACTGGACAAGAAACATGTTGACAGCTTGAAGTCAGACCAGAGGAGGCCCACTAACAGACCCACACCCAGCAAGAATCACCACTGCTTGAGCTTCTCTGCAGAATAATTTGTTCACAGGTCTACTCTGTTGATCCTTTTGAAACAGATCCATTACCACCTTCCATCTAGGTGCTAATTTCTTCATATTTTCATTTCAAAGGGCTTATTTTCTCCCCTTTTACCTTTGTTCTGTTCAAAAAGAGGAGGAAGATAAAAGCTACCAGATAGCACTGCTTTATGAAACAGGGAACCTCTGGTCTGTTCTTCTACTAGACTCCTGTTCTCAGAGGACAGGCCTTACAAAGAGAAACTCACAAAAAAAAAAAAAAAAAAAAAAAAAAAAAAAAAAAAAAAAAAAAAAAAAAAAAAAATCACGTGTCTAACAAAAAAATCACTTAATACAGATCTCCTGAGATTTCCTGTCACCACATAGTCTGCCAGCTCCCAAGGATCAGTAGCGATGATATCTCCTCTTATCATCCATTAAAACACAAAATAGCAAAAGGAAAAGTGACTACACTGGCTACTCTTTCTACTTCCAAGCCTGCACCTCAGACTTTGGACAATATTCCTTCCAGTATGCAAGATGTCAGAGAGACATGATTGGTGTGGATGCCCCCATCTTTCAGTGATGAGTCCTTTGGTAGAGATTACACAGAATTCCCTTGAATCTGTATTGATCAGCAGAATTAGCTTGGGACTGCTATTTGGTTTTAAACACGATTATTCTGTTATCACAGAAAACAACAGCAAAAGACAAACCAAGTTGTCATGAATAGAATCTCTCAAGAAATCCACCCCAGTTAAAACACTGTGTTTAGTTATGTACAGTTAATGTTCTTATCCCATTTGTAAACCTTGTTTGTTTACCCCTTGTTTACTCCGATGGTTATTAGTAATGTTAATTACTTACCAGTTTCTGAAGTGTTTTAAAGGTTCTTATGAGACATTCCTGTACCCTTTCCCTTACTTCCCTGCAACTATGTAATAAAGCTGCTCCCATGGGGGCTGGGCCACCTAACAAAGCAACTCCCATGAGCTGTGCCACACTGGAACAAAGCAACTCCCAGGGAGCTGTGCTACCGAATAATATGCAAACTAAGGCATGCAAGACACCAAAACAATGAGCTAACAGAGGAATAAAAGAACAAAGAAACATATTGTAGCAGGCTATGGTGAAAGATCATCTTCCTGCATCACCTAAGCCTGCTTAGAAACCATCTTCCTGCATCACCATGACCTAAGAGGACTGGAA